GTGCTGTTCTCCAAGGACGACCGCTTGCTCCTGTCCTGCAGTGGCTCGCCCCACGGGGCCATCTATGGCTGGGACCTGGAGACCCAATGGGAGAAAGAGGAGGAGGAGGAGGCGGAGGATGAGGAGGAGCAGGAGGTGGAGGAGGAGAAGGAGAAGGAGGATGCGGAGAAGGCGGAGGAGGAAGAGGAGCAGGAGGAGGAGGAGGAGAAGGAGGAAGGGGAGGCACACAGGGAGGAGGAGAGGCAGGAGGAGGAGGAAGAGGAGGACGAGGAGGAGGAGGTGGAAGAGGAGGAAGAGGAGGAGGAGGAGGAGGAAGAGGAGGAAGATCCGAGGAGGAGGAGGAGGAGGAGGAGGAGGAGGAGGAGGAGGTATACCGATGCCGCTACCCTTGCCTCGATTTTGCACTTGGGCCTCCGCCTATGCTTCCCTGCTCAGGAGACTCTGTCGTCGTCTCAGTTTTTGTGAGCCAGGTGTTTTCGCTTAGTGTCGGGCCCCGGGGCCCTCGAAGATCGATCCGGCTCGAAAAATGGCGCCGCAAGATGGGGTTTAGGGCTCCAGTCATGATTTTGTACGAAATGTTTTTCGCGCCGTCGGATTTCAGGGCGTTTTCTTGCACAAAGAGAAGCAAGCAAGGGGAGATTCTGGGAACTTTTAGGCCTCCTGGGGCCCTCACCAGGCCCTGGGACCGTCAACGGAAACAACTCGGGATGGAAGACCATTCTTGGGGAAGTGGTCCAGGGAGCCGCGCGGCGAAAAAAACGGGTGTCGGAGATCTGGGTCATGGAAGGTCCTCGTCGCCAGGGCTGGCTTCGCCTCGAAGTTTTGGTCCGAACGCACCTTGGAAGAGGTCCAGGAAGTGTCAACATCGGTATCTTTACGTATGCTTCCTCAGGAGACGCCAGGGAAGGACCGCCGATTCGAGCACGTCTCGAAGGGCACCTTCTTCTCCTCGGTGGTGCACGACTTCCGGAGGGAGCTCGTGGTTGCGCTCACGCGCCCCGACGGGTTTCTCCGAGTGGTCGGCCACACGAGCGACGACTACCTCGACATCAGGCCCGAGGGCCCGTCGATGCACTACACCTGCCTGTGCCTCGCAGACGCCGCGGGCATGCTTTTCGCGGGCATGCAGACGGGCTCTGTCGCGGTGTTCAGCTGGCCCCTGGCCGAGGGGGCCCAAAACCCGAGGCCGTTCACGGAGGTTCGGGCGGCGCCAACTGACCATTTCACCGCACCCGGCCAGGCCGATCCTGGGCCCAGGATCTGCGCCTGCCGCCTTGGCCAGGGAGGCGTACCCCGGGCGGTGCTGGGACACGGATAGATCGACCCAGAGCGTTCCCAAGCGCTCTCAGAGAGTTCTAGAACGGCCGCTGCGCCCGAGGCTTCCTGCACAACCGCCCTTGGTTCTCAGGAGTCCTGGACTTCTTCCTGTCCGATTCTGTCCCAGTCCTGGCTGGTAAGGCTTCGGGCTGCCACTGACAGCCCCCCCCCAGGGTAGTGCCAGCTGGCCTCAGCAGGCCCCCAGAGTCGTCCCAGCTAGCCTCAACAGGCCCTCCGAGCAGTCCGGGGCGCTCGCAACGCCTCAACCCTGGAGCACGGAGCGCCCCAGGGGCGCCGCTGGAGGCGGCGCCAGGGCGTCGAGGCCGCCCAGGACTGCTCCGGGGGCCCGCCGAGGCCAGCTGGGACCACTCGGGAGGCCTCCTTCGTTGAGGCCAGCGGGGGCCACCTGGGCGGCCTGCTGCGGCCAGCCAGGTCCGCCTGGCGGTGCTGCCTGTGCGCAGCCCGAGCCCAGGGTGGGCCCTGCCAAGGGAGGTCGTGTCGGCCGACGTCTTACCCGAGAGGTGGCCCTGCACGCCAAGCCCGTCGCGGCGCTGACGACCACCGACAGCGGCCAGCTGCTCTTCAGCGCCTGCGAGGGCGGCACGGTCATGGCCTCCGAGGTGGAGATCGTCAGCGCGGAGGGGGGCCCCGAGGGACGCGGGGGCGCGCTGACCGCCGCTATGCTCGAGAAGCGCTTCGCGGAGTACCGCTACCGCGCGGACGAGCGCGGCTCGGCCCAGAACAGGGACAATGAGAGGACCCGCACAGAAAGCGCGGGGGCCCCCAAGAGGTGCGGTGACCACACCGTGTGGTGAGTCAGAGGGGACTCGGGGTCACCGCACGGCTTGGGGACTTGGGTCGCTCTCCGAGGATGTCTCGGGCGACTGGGGCTTCCAGGGTCCCCAGAAATTCGTGCGGTGACGGACCGCGCGGCGAAGCCTCTTGGGATTTCGAGGTCACCGTGCGGTCTGTCACCACACGGTTTTGGGACTCCCAAGTGGCCCAATCAGTCGGCATGTAAAGGGGCACGGCGCAATTCTTGGAGCTTCGAGTGCCGCAGCTTGCAGGATCTCACAGAGCTCTAAGCTGGAGTGCAGTCAGCGCGCCTAGTATCTAAGGACGCGCGCCTCCATCCAGAGTACCCTTGTGTCATTGCCTCTGCGGCCCGTCCTCTGCCGTTTTCACTGGTCGCCCGCAGCCCAAAGAATTCCAGCTTCAGCCTCCAAGGGTCCTGCGTCCTTACCACCCGTCCTTCCTGTACGTCTTGACCGTGGTCTGATGCGGACGGGTCGGCGGCGAGAGTTGCCATCGTTCACGAATCTGTCCATTGTGGTGCGTGATAGAGTGCGCAACTACTGCGGGGGGGGGCGCGAAGTATCGCACGGGCGACAACTGTTGCATCGGACAGAGAACTACACAACTGCAGTCCACGCGCAGCTAGTGCTGCGACCGCGCGGATGGTTGCCTCCAGGCACCCACTCTTGCAAGTACTATTGCACCTCTCCCCGCGGACCTATCTGCGACGGACCCAGTATATTCCGGCTTCAGAAACTGGACGGAGTTTTGCTGAGCCAGGCTTGGAAGCCGCTTGCGGCCCTGGGGACGTGGCCTCAAACAGTGGTTGAGCTGGGTTTGGGGAGCCCCCCAAAAATTGCAGCGCAGTTTTTCCTCATTTTGCGAGCCGGGTTTGCGCTGGGCCGGGCTCGTTCACGCCCGAGGCATCACCCAAACATGCTTATAGCATGTGTGCGTCGCCCCGAAGGGAACGACGCGAGCGCTCAGACATCTTCATCGTATAGGCTCGGTGGTGGGCGCTTTCTGGCCCGTTCCGCTCGGGTAGCGATGTATTTCATTATGCGATCAAAAGGCGATGAGATAGGGACCGCTCTGGGCTCGGGAAGGGGCTCTGGTTTTCGGGCCGCTCTTCGCATTTACGGTCGGGAGCCTAGGCTGGCTCGGGGCTCCCGATCCATCGCACGGCCCAACCCTCGGCCACGGGGAGTACCTCTCTGCGGTGCGCGCGCAGGTTGGTGCCCCCGCCATCGACCACGTGACCGCCGTGCGGCAGTGGAACGCTCGACAGGGCGCGTCTCCCACGCTCTCCAGTGCGCCACCCCCAAGGCCACGCGGGGCCACGACGAGGGGCGCGACCACGTGTTGGCGCTCGCGCATCTGGCCGACCCCGGCGCCGAAGCCGAATTTCCCGGGCCATTGCCGTCAGCACTACTGCTCCGCCCTGCAGATGTCCTGACCAGCGCGGCCCTCGTGGGCCGTCTGGCGGCTCCTGGTTTGGGCGCGTTCAGCCCTGCTTCGATGCCATGCGCGCCCGGATGCTCGACAACTGCAGCGGCCACCTCGCGGAGCTGGCGGCGGCGGGCATCACAGACGTGCCAATCGTGTGGTCCGCTTGCGACCGCGCCCACCTGGAGGCGCAGGCGGCGCCCAAGACGCTGACGGTGCGGGCCGACGGGCGCCGCGGGCTGCGCTGCCACCGGCCGCTGCTGCTCCGGACCGCGCCGGCCATCGGCGTCGCAATCTGGCGGCGCTCGGCTGCCGTGGTGCATGCGCGCCCCCCGGCGCTCACCCCTGAGGCAAAGCGGCTGCTTTTCGCCGAGGCGGCGACCCCGCGAGCGTAGAGCGCGGGCCACGGGGCTGGGCGGCGTTCGGTTGCGATTGTTGTTTGCTCCTTCTGTGCCGCCGGTTCTGCCTCGGCACGCCGCAGGGCGACGCGCTATCCACATCACACGTCCCAGTCCCCAAACGTCAGCGTCTCGTGTTTTTTTCTCCGCCTCCCGCCACACGCAGCGGAGCGCCACGCTATCCGCTCGCAAGGCTTAGCGCGTCGCCAGGGCCGACGCTGCGACGCGCTAAGAAAGAGTTACCGACCGCAGGTCGCGGAACATATTCTAGACAGCCCACACTGGACTTGTGGACCGACCCCCCCCCCTTCCTCGGGCCCAGCGGGGGGGGGCTCCCCCCAGCTCCCGACATCTCACCCCCCTGTGCGACAGGGGATCCGCCCGCAGGACAGACAGGTCCCGGGCAGACCCACTTTGCTGTCTGACGACGAAAGCCACCCAACCGCGGGTGGTGAGGGGACGGCCATTGGTACACACCCCCCCCCCATGCGCCTGCGGATCGACCTGTGCAGGTCACAATTTTGACATATCGACTCTAGCGGCGATCAGCTGCGACCCCCAATGATCAACTATCAAGGACGCACCCATATTGAAGGACCTGAGAGGCGATCAGCTGCGACCCCCCGGACCAACCACTGTTCCCACCCAAGGTGTGAGAGGACCCGAGCAAGGGGAGAGGCGGCTTTCCCCCGCCTCCCTCTGCTGGTGCCAGACGGGTGTCCCCCGCTCTGGGCGACAGGGGCCACCGACGTCCTGGCAAGGCGTCGGGTGGCGCCCCGGCCGCCCTCGCCCATCGCTGTTGGGGCTGGTTTCCCCCCCCCCTGCGGCGGTTCGGTGCGGCCCTGGAGGGCCACGTGGCTCACGGTGCGGGCTCTGGGCCCGGGTGGCACGCGCTGGCGGCGGGCGTGGCCGGACTGGCAGCGGCCGGCCCTCCTGCTTCTCACGTTGCAGCCCCCCCGGCACACCGCCCAGCGACTACCTCACATCGCCCGTACCAACGCCGCGTGCCTCACGAGGTATTGCTCAACCGTGCTCCCGGAGGCACTCCGAGTGGGTCTGGTTCACATCGGGGTACCTCAGCCCCAGCACACTCCTTCTCTTTCCTCGCCGGCGTTGTTCACCACGCCAGCGGGCTCCCACTCTCAATGACCGCACCGGGCCGGCGCGCGCCGGATGGGTCACAGTCGCACGGTACCCCTCGACACTGTGATGCGGTCCAAGTGAGACTGGCCTGTGTGCTGAGTGGTTCAGCCTTCAGCGTCTTGGCAGCCTCTCAGGCCCACCTGCAAACCCCCCCGTGCGCTGCACCACGGTTCACGGCTGCTCAGCCGGCTTGGCGTACGCAGGTCGTCCGTTTGGAGTTTGGCGCCTCATCGGCGACTCACTTCCGGCCTTTCGAGATCCGCAGGTCTCGCGCGTTTCCTGCGATGGCCACTCGAATTCTGGTCATTTTGTCCAGTGCGCGTGCCCGTGCTTGCAGTACGTCAGCCAGTTCAGCGTCACCCAGCCTGCTGTCGCCGTCTGAGTGGGCCGACCGGCGCTCTGCTTAGCAATTAGCTTCGCCCGTGGCCCGGACGTTGCCTTCGCCGCCTGACCGTCGTCTCGTGGCCGCGACCAAGAAAGTAACCCCGCCAGTCCATCCAGTTACGATGACCAGGCGAGTTGCCCGCAAGTTCGCGTAGTCTTCGGAACGGTGTAAGCTCGTCAGGGGGCTCGTCCCATGGGCGAAATACAGGTTTGGCCAATCCTGTCCCCTTTCTTCCCTTCCGTTTTTCCCTTTGCCCTCCCGTCCTGCCTTGTTCTCAGCCCATCCGGCCACAACCAAACAGTCCTTGGGATTCCATTTTGTAGTCTGACCAGGCACGCCCCAGGTCTGTTTATGGGGGGGTAGGAGGGCGAGCCGAAAGGTCAGAGACCCATTTCCCGAAGTACTTTCGGATGTCATTCGGAGGCTTCTTAGGGGTCCTCTCGGAGCGTCTTGGGGGTCTTTTAAGAGTCCTTGGGGCGTCTTGGGTGCCTCTGGGGGGCCTCTTGCGGCCTCTTGGGGGTCTTTGGGGGGCCTCTTTAGGGCCTCTTGGGGCCTCCTGGGGCCTCCTGGGGCTTCCTTGACACCTCTGAGGGTCGTCTTGGGTGTCTTGGGGTACATTTGCGAGCTTCGGGGGTCATCTTGTGGTATTTTGGAGGATATTGATCACAAGAGGAGGGGGCGGAGTAGCTTCGCGCCTCCCCGCAAGGGGCCAGCATGTGGCCATAACCCTTGTAGAATCAGTGTTTTGTGCTTGCCTTCTCGCCGAAGCCATCCTTGGACGCTATAACCCCTCGCGCCCCCCCCCGTCCAGGTCCAGGGCTCCCCGAAGGGGAAGAAGGAGGTCGGAAGACGAAACGCCCTAAACCAGTCACGCCCTGAGGGGCTGCTGGGATTGCTGGCCGAGGCTGGCCGAGGCTCGCCGCCGTGACCAGGAGAGCTCCTTCCTTTTCTCGCAACGGCGTTCCTCGATGGAGCTGCTCAAGGCATCGCAGGATCCCCGAGCTTATCAGCTCGAGGGGCGCATGCAGAGCAGCGTCCGCTGCCACCCGCTCGCTCCTGTCAGGCCGCCCGGCGGCTGGTCCTTTTGCGGGGACGGGGCGCATACAGAAAACAACAAGCATGCAGTACGATGGTCGTATGCTTCTGAGCTGCGCTCGGTGTCGGACGTGCCCCTCCAGAGGAGGCGGCTGGACCTGCAGAAGAGGTTGTGGGAGAGGGGCGTCGTGAACAACTACGCGCCCATGAGCGAGATGGTGATGGTGCCGAAGGCATACCTGAAGGAACTGCTGGGCGACGTCACCGAGCTCGAGGAGAGGTTGCGGCGCACGGAGCACGACACGGAGGTCCTCGTGGAGCAGCACGAGCTGGAACTGAGGGACAAGCTGGCGGAGAAGCGCGACGAGATGAAGGCGGAGGCCGAGATGGCCAGTCTGAGGTACGAGACCCTGCAGGTCCAGTTCAGGCAGAGCCAGGAAGCGAGCCAGGCGCAGCTGCTGCTGGCCCAGGAGCAGTTCGAGCAGCGGCTCCAGGACCTCCAGTCCCAGTTCGAGGCGAAGCTCTCCAAGGAGTACGACAAGGAAGGCCTCCTCCTGGAGGGCCTGGACCGGGAGAGAGCGCAGAGGGCGGAGGAGGTGCGGCGCCTGGAGGAGCACCACGCGAAGGAGATGCAGGCCCTGCAGGGCAAGGCCGACAAGCAGCATGCCGGCAGCCGTGCCGAGTACGACCGCATCGGCAACCTCCTGCTCTCGGACAGCCTGCGCTTCGAGGAGGCCCTGCGGCAGCAGGACTCGGAGTACTCCGGCCAGTTGGAGGAGCTGCAGGTCAAGTACAACGCGCTGCTCAAGAGGGAGAAGGAGAAGGACGAGGCGGCCGCCAAGGAGAACATCCGGATAGGGGAGCGCTACAAGTTCATGCAGCAACAGCTCAAGGAGCTCGAGGCGGAGAAGATCGAGGTGGCGCGCGAGAGGGACGAGGCCGAAAAGGTCGCACGCGAGAGGACCGACATTCTTATGCAGGTGAAGGAGCAGCTGCGGGAGCGCGAGCGCGGGCTAAAGGTAAAGGATGAGACTCTGGCCAGACTGCGAGAGCAGACGAAACACTTGGAGAGCTTCAGGTTCGTGCTCTTCCACAAGGTGCGGTCTCTGGAGGAGGAGCGTGACCCCCTCGAAGAACAGGTCGATAACCTGAAGAGCAACGTGCGCGAGATGTACACCGAGTTCGTCAGGGAGTTCAAGAGGCAGCAGAAGATACAGCGCGAGCTGGACGAGAAGGGAAACCTCTACAACGGCCTGCAGAAAGAGGTGGCGGACGTGCGCGCGAAGCTGCAAAACCTCGCGAAGGCGACCCACCGTCTCTTCCAGGATCTGGACGTGGTGCTCCACCCTGACACGCAGGGAAAGTTCGACAGGATGCCTCAGCGCCTGGCGGACGTGCTGGAGAGGCACAAGAAGGTCCGCCAGCTACTGATCCCGAGCTACGGCGAGGACCTGGGGCTGGACGAGCGCCCAGAGGAGGAGCCCGAACCCGAGGGCCTGGTCATGGAGCTGACCACCCACCGGGATCTCCTGTTCCGCAAGAACCAGTACGCTGTCTTTGCCGCGACCCACGCCAGGATGGTGAGGCTTACGGTCGGGAGCTTTTGGATAGCGTGTCGCTCTGCTGGTTCTGGCCCACCGCGCTTCGGCGCGACACGTTACCCCCTTCCTGGTCCCCAGGCATCAGCGTTCCGAGCCTTTACCAGCCTCCCGCCCCGCGGAGCGTGGCGGTACGCTATCCGCTTGCAAGGCATAGCGTGTCGCCGGGGCCGCCGTCGCCGCGACACGCTCAGCGGAAGCTCCCGACCGCAGGGTTGCCCACGGACAGCCCCCTCAGGTAGTCCCGGCTGGCCTCAACAGGTCACCCGAGTCGTCCAAGGCGGTCTCAGCATCCCAAGATTGGGGCGCGGAGCGCCCCAGGGGCGCCGCCGCAGGCGGCGCCACGGTGTTGAGACCGTCCCAGACTATTCGGGGTGCTTGCCGGGGCCAGCCATGACTATCGGAGGGAAGCCGTCTTTACGCAGCCTGGAGCCCTACCACGCCAGGAGCGAGTGCGGCCAGGACTTATCAGTCTGGAACATATCCCTCGACCCATGATTGGCATCACCCGATCCCGAGGCAAAACTTAAGGATTTCCTCAGCTTCCTGAGGTCTCATCCCTACGATTGATGCCGCTTTGGGGGATCTCAACCGTAGGGATAGGGATAAGTTTGAGGGGTTAAGGACCTGCGCAAGCTCATCAGCCAGAACACCGAACTGATCAACGAGTGCAATACCCTCCGTGGCGAGACGCGCCAGTGGAAGCGCAGCTGCGACGCCCTGGAGTCGCAGGTCACCGCCCTGCACCAGAAGGCCAAGAGTAGCGAGGCACAGGTCAGGGCCCACTTCGACATCGATCGATTCGAATCCATGTCGATTGAGCTTTCAAGTCCGTGCCGATGCAGGCCGATCCGACGCATCTTTCCGTCCGATCCGATTTCCTGATTCGAGACTCCCTCGGATCCGACGGCTCGAAAAAAATGAAACATCGTGAGACATCACGACCAGAGCCCAAGACCCCATCTTTCGGTGCAACTTTTCGAGCTGGATCGATCTGTGAGGGCCCCAAGGCCCGAAACTGGGCGAAAACGCCCGGCCCGAAAGAATGGAGACGCCAGGATCTCGGGGCTGACTGAACCTGCAGGTGCGCGTCCTCGAGGTCTCCGCCGGCAAGATCTCGAGGATCTAGTAGGGGGTCCGAGCAGATGGAGTCGGAAGATCGAGCGCGATTTTCTCCACGCCGACGGCGCCAATGCATCGCCGACGTCGCCAGTGCATCGCCAATGCATCGGCGATGCTTCGCCGATGCATCGGCGATGCGGTGCGATCCTCCGACCCCATCTACACGGACCCCATCCAGGAGGCCCTCCAAGGGGTTGCTAAAGGGAGAGAGGGGTTCTAAGAGGATGCTACAGTGGGTCTTATCTGGCCAAACCTAGCGTATATGTGGAGTACAAGTGGCCCAGGTGGCGTACGAGGGGTAAAGGTCCAGGCTAAGAGGGCTCCGCCCATTTAGTCGAGCTATAGCGTACCCTTAGCCTACTTCGGGCATTTGCGGCCCACCTATAAGGTTCGGCCAGATATAACCCACTGGCAATGACGTTACGTCGTCTCGCGTAAGACCCGATTTTTCGTCGCTCAAGTCCCAGGCCCCCGAAGTCATGCTTTTCCATGACGTCGACCCCTGGGGCCATGGGTAGTTGTGTGACGCTCCTGCCGCCCGGTAAAGACCCCCTAGAGGCCCCCAACGGCCGACAAATTTCCGTTGTGATTTTTGCATGACGCGACCATGTCCGGTCTTTTTCTTCGTCTGTGTAGGGTCGCCGGCGAGCGAGGGGGGGGAAGTGAGAGGGGGCAGGCATGCTCTGAGGATTCGGAAGGCCTCCCGCCTTGATTCTGAGCAGTTGCCTGCGCCTTCTCACTTTTCGGGGCACCTCTCCCAGCAGGCCGGTGGCCTTCTGAGAAGCCCCGCCGCCTTCTGAGGTGGCCCTCTCCCCCGCGCTTTCCCCCCTCGCCCGCCGCCGCGCAGAGGAGCGAGTCCGCGCCCGGCGGCCTCGCGGAGGGCGCCCCCTGCGAGCCCGACCGCGCTGCCGAGCCGCCGCGGCGCGGCGGCGCGGGCGCCACCCTCCCGCAGGAGAGACAGCAGGGCCCGTGGCACAGCTCAGGCGGGTGGTGATGGGGGGTGGCCTTCCTTGGGGGGCGAAGAAAACAGAGCCCCTCGAGTCATGAAACAAGCACGGCGGGAAGTTTGTCGTTGCTTCTGGCCTCTGGGGGCCTTCGCCAGGCCTCGGGACCGCCGAGAAAGTATTCAGGATAAGAACCCGGTCCCGGGGAATGGGTCCCGATCTCTGGGGGTCGGCGTCATGAAAAAATCGTGACGTCGGGGGTCTGGGAAAGGGGCCCTCAAGGGGCTCCTTGAGGACCCCTTTTGGGCCCCTGCAGGCGCCCTGAGGGGCCCTACGGGCTCCTTTGGCGCCCCTCTCTTCGCCATCCATCCAGGTTGCCCTTTTTTACCACCCGCCCGAACAGCGCCGCCGCCTCGCCGCACGCGCGGAGGGCAGCGGCGGCGGCGAGCGCGGCGCGGAGGCACCGCAAAAGCACAAGAGGGCATAGCAATACCCTGAGATCCGGGCGAAATTCGGCTTTTTCTCAGGTTTCGGCCTCTCGGGGTTTGTGTCGGGCTTCAGGACCGTAAGCAAGTTACTTGGGATGAAAAGCCGTCCGAAAGATCGAGACGACGGAGCTCTGGGATCCTGGCATCTCATTTTTCTCGAGCTGGGTGTGTTCGCCCGTTCGGGCCTCTGCCCTCACAGATCGATCTAGCTCGAAAAATGTCGCAGGAAGCTGGGGTCTAGGGCTCTATCTCGCGCCGTCGGATCTTTGGGAAGGGCACAACCATACATTCTTTCGAGGGTCCGCGCGGATTTCTTGGGTCGGCGCTGGGTACCCTCCCGATCCAGGAAATTCGCGTGGAGCTCCGAAAGCTTAGGTCGGGGTCCTGGCGCGGACCAAGTACCTGCTTTGTGAGGCTCCCAAATAGTTATGCGCAGTGTCCCTCTCGGAGCTGGGGCGGGTTGGGAATGCAAGCTCCCAGAGATCCGACGTCGAAAAAAGTGAAACATCGCCCAAAATCACGACCAGAGCCCTGGACTTAATCGTTCTGCCCCACTTTTCGAGCTGGATCGATCTGTGAGGGCCCCGGTGCCCGAAGCTGGGAAAAGATGCCCAGCTCGAAAAAAATGGAGCGACAGGGAATCCTGTTTCCCAGACATCCGACGATATGTTTTTTCCCGATCTGCTGCCCCAGAGGTTCCGACCCCTTCTCTGGGGCCACTCTGTCGCCCTGGTCCAATTTTGACGGTCTCCGGGCTCGATGACTGGCCACAGAGGCAGAAATATACGAAAAACGTCTGCAATGAGAAAAAACATATCGTCCTGACCCACGGGGCCATTCCCCAGGATTGGTTTTTCATCCCCAGCCGTTTGTTCACGGTCCTGAAGCCCAACGAGAACCTCAAGAGACCGAAAACACAGAGAAAACGCCGCCTTGATTTCTTCAATGCGTTGGATATCTGGGGATCTGACGGTCCCAGGGCCCGGCGAGTGCCCTCGGAGGCCGGAAATTGCCAAAGGCTGATACTCCTTGTTTATGTAACGGCGCGAGCATGGTTGGGCCTCCAAAACGACGCAAAAATGCCGCATTGATTTTGTTCACTGCGTTGGATCTCTGGGTTCCTGTGCCTCCAGAGTCCGGGAAGCGGAAGACTTGAGTTCGCCAGATCTGGGGTTGGCCGCTGCTTTTTGACGGGCCTGTCCTGGGTTTTTGACGGTCCAGTTCCCGTGGGATCTTGATCGCGGGAGCTCACGTCAACTTTCAGACCGGGCCTCATCATTTTCCTGTGAGGCCAACCCGAGTCCCCTGAACCCGAGTCTTACCCTGACATGCGGTTTCTTGTTTTTTTCGATGCGGGATCCCTGAGGGTCCCGACCCACTCCCCAGGACTGGCTTTTCATCTTGAGTCGTTTTTTGAAGGTCCCGAGGCGAGGCGAGGCCCCCCGGAGGTTGAAAATGGGGAATAACTTTCGGTCGTGGTTTTTTCAAGCCGGATCTCTGGGATCCCCCCGGACCCGAGTCGTACGTTTCCCCGACAGAGGCTTGGCGGCGCGCACAGGGGGTTCAGGAGGAGGAGGAAAGGCTTCTTAGAAGGAGTCTGCTTCCTAGAAGGCGCGGGCCGTGTCTACAGGTGTAGGGCCGGAGCCTTCCAAGAAGCAGCCTCCTTCTAAGAAGCCTTCCCCGACGAATTGTTGTCGCTATTTTCAGCTTCTGGGAGCCCTTACTAGGCCTCGGGGCCGTCAACAAAAAGCTTCAGGATGAGACACTTGTCCCGAGGAATTGACCGAGACCTCCTGGGCTCGACGTAATGAACACTTATTGACGTCGAGGGTCTGTGTCCTGCGTCTCCCCGACAGAGGCAGCGGGCCGGCGCAGCCGGCGCACCAGACAGGGCCGCGCCGTTGCCGCACGTGGGCCCGGGCGCGGCCGGACTCGAGGTTGGCGTCGCCCAAACATACCAGAACCGCGTGCGCGTCGCCCCCCGAGGGAGAGACTCGCGCGCCGAGAAATCTTCTAGTAACATGCTCGGTGGCGGGCGCTTTCTGGCCATGCCGCTCGGGTAACGAGATACGACTAGACGTTTGTACTACATGTTCGGGTCGCCTCCGAGGAGGATGTGTCATAACCTAGGTGAGTCTAGTTTTGGTACCCCCCTCTTCACTCGGCGGTGAATTGGACTGGTCCTAAAACCTCCTCCTTCTCCTCCCCCTCATTTTCCTCCTCCTCCTCCTCCTCCTCCTTTTCCTCCTACTACTACTGCTGCGAGCATTATTATGACGAATGCTACTACTACTACTACTACTACTACTACCACTACTACTACTACTACTACTACTACTACTACTACTACTACTACTACTACTACTACTACTATCACTATCACTACTACTACTACTACTACTACTACTACTACTACTACTACTACTACTACTACTACTAATGTTACTACGACTACGACTACGACTACGACTACGACTACGACTACTACGACGACTACTACTACTACTACTACTACTACTACTAGGACTACTACGACTATTTCAACAACTACGACTACTCCTACCACTACGACTACGACTACTACTACTACTACTACTACTACTACTACTACTACTCCTACGACGACGACGACGACGAGGACGGCGACGACAACTACTACTACTACGACTACTACTAGTACTTAGACTTCTATTCCTACTACTACTACTACTACTACGACTACTACGACTACTACTACTACTCCTACTACTACTACTACTACTACTACGACTACTACTACTACTACTACTACTACGACTACGACTACTACGACTACGACTACTACTACTACTACTACTACTACTACTACTTCTGCTACGTATTACTACTACTACCACTGCTACTGCTACTACTATACTACTGCTACTACTACTACTACTTCTACGACTACTACTACTACTACTACCACTACTACTACTACTACTACTACTACTACTACTACTACTACTACTACTACTACGACTACTACTACTACTACTACTAGTACTACTACTACTACTACTACTACTACTACTACCACGGCTGCTACTA